CTTTCCTCCTTCAGGATTGAGCATCCACCAGGAACTCTTCCCTGTTCCCTCATTCTGCACTCTGATGAACTTGCTGTGCAGTGACAGGTTATGACGGATTGAATTCTGAAAAGCAAAATAAGGTATAAGAAATTGAGAAAACATGCTTGGTTTACTTTGTACTAATACTTCTATTTGCAAACAAACTCGCATTTTGTTAGGAAACATGGGGTAATCACGACATGGGAAAACACACCAGTCTGAAAACAACTTTAATCAGCTCACCACTCTCAACTGGCTGAAACGGGCTTGGCAGAGAGTTGCCATGACAATTTGCCTGTCATGTGGCCCAATCAGATTTGATGCTATAAAAAATTATATGAAATACTGAAGGAGCAGTTCTGAAATACAAATTCTTCATAAAGGAGACAAAATATACCAGAAGACCAAGAAGACAACTGAAGATCTCATTATCAGCTTCGTTAGTTTAATTCAGCAGAATTAGTTGAGCCTGACTGCTCCCAAGCATTTTTATAATTATTATTATTTTACACAAAGTTCAGGAATCTCACTGTGCACACCCCTAAACCCTGCAACCATCCCTGCCACAGAACTGTATTGCCACTGAACATTAGTGAGGGTTTGTATTCCTTGTGTTATGTGAGAAAACCCATCTAGAAGACTGGTTGAGGATTAAGATCTAATTTTTATAAATAAACTTCAATAAATGCCTAAGAAATCATAAGGCAGAAAGTAATGCAAACAGACAGACAAACCACATTTCTCTTTCAAAATCAACATTTTAATATGCAAAATACCTGAGGGCACAAGATTATCTTGTGCCAAGATTGACCAGAGGTACTGAAGCTTTTCAGTATCTCCTCAGCCATGAGAAATGTTTCATGTTTTGTTCTTAAATCCAAACAAAAAGAAACAAATACACACCAAAAAAAAATCCAGCCCCCAAGCTGACCTGTTAACAAGAGACTACCCTTTGCATCACCAAGCAGTAGATAATTTTTTTTTCCTCCCATAACAATTTTATGCTGAGCACATATAAAGAACACTGCATCCACAGAAAACCTGTTTGACAGAACTGCTAACAAAAGGCCACAAGTTCAAAGAGTGCTGAAACAGGCAGCCATAGCTGTTGGTAGGAAGGTGGGACAGTAGCAGCGTCTGCATGGGGACCCACGGTCTGTGCCAAGACTGCAATTCATGCAGTCATCAAGGAGGGAACTACAACATATGAAATGGGTAAACCAGAAATTAGACCTCTGTGGCAGAGAAATCCATTATGCAGTACCTGCCTTCCATTCACTGTCGTTTTTAGCTGTTAGTCTAAAGAAAAATTTGGGGGAGCAAAAATGGAAAGGAGTAGTAAGGCTGAACTTGACCAGCAGGCCAATGGGCCAGCTATCTCACAAGTCTAAGTGGCTGTGAGACCTGCAAGAACCCTGTTCTGGCTTTCCTGTTTTCCTGCTTTTTTCCCTCCCATCTGCCTTCTCAAGTTTTTGATCTGATCCCCAAGACTTACAACAGCACTGAACCAAGATGACACAGCTCGTGGAACTTTGCATGCCTAGTGGGACAAACCAGAGGACAAGGGACATAAGCACTGCTGTGGTTGCTTTTGCTGTATTTCCCAATCCACAGTTAGGAATGTCTTCCTTCAACTTCTATATTCTACCAGTCCCATACATCTGCTTTTTCAAAGATGCTGCCAATATGCACATCTTTCCCCATTGCCTATACCTCCAGCTGACAGAAGAAGGAGGCATGTCAGGTGAAAACAGCCATCTCATGGGGCCTGGCTCAATCTGGAGACAGCAGGCTTAAAATCCTTGCAAGTGCCATGACACGATGTGGACCATGCAAAGCCAACTGGCCAAAGCAGGCCCTGCCAGCTGCAGAGCTCAACAGGAACGGTTACTCTGGGGTCAAAGAGGAGACCTTAAGGAGTTGAAGGCAGCTAGGAGGTAGGCAGCAATGTCCTAAGACACAGGAGTGCAGCTTCATGCCAAACAGGGACAAAGGACGATGCCCTTTGACAGAAGAAGATGGCAGAATGTGGCTTTGTGGCACCTCATACTCAACCAGTGCAGTAAGGAATCAAACTGTGTGCCTAACCTCAGAGCTTTTCCAACCTCTCCCTCCTCTCCAAAGAACTATCTTTAACAAGTCATCCCAGTGACAAGACCAGTGAAAATTTGAGGGTTTCCTTACTCAATTTTGAAAGAAAGCCAATCTTTCCCATATTAACGAATCAACGTAGGACTGTACATCTTCACTGCAGATAACCCTGCAATCAAAACCTAATCCTCCACCGTGCTACAGGGCGTTAGGGAAGGACTTCAAACTTTATTTTCACCAGGTGCAGTTAACACACTGGGAAGGTAAGTCTGAAAATCCATCTTTGGGGTTGCTGCAGCCCCAAGGGCCAGCAGAGGAGCCTTGTGAGTCCAGCTGGTGCAGCTCACTGCTTCCACTTAAGGGCCACAGCCGAATCCCTAGCTGACACAAGTCCAGAAATGTCGCAAGAGCATCGGTCCATGTGTCTGTTGATTAAAAAACCTCCTGCGCCAGTTCATATTTTTTTTTCATTGTATTTTGTAAACATACCCAGTTGGCTCAGGTGTACTGTTTACTATCAAAATAGGCCTATCCAACACACAAAACATCAGGCAGAGAAAATAAGGCTCAGTTCCCTCTTCTCTGAAACAGAGGTGTTAAATATTTAAGAAATCACTGCTATTCCTTAGTCATCAAAAATGTTATAATCTGGTATTATTGCACTGAGGACATCTGAGGTCGCTCTTTGAGTAACAGAGCTGTCTCCTAACTCTGCCAGCAATGAAAAAAAAAATTTTCCTAACAGGAAAAGGTTTGTGGCCCAGAGCTTGTTACATAAATTCCTGTTTTTCACGCAGCCAGCAGGACATTAAAGAAGCTATGATTTACTAACTTGGAAAAAGTGTTGAGGAGGTAAATCTTGTGAAAATATGCACTGCTGTTAATGATGTTGTGTCTACAGATCTCTGCCAGATGCAAACATGACCTGATAAAAAAGTATCATTTCAGCAGTGGATCTTGGCAGCCGGAGGAGCGGTGCGGCTGTTGGCAGCACCGCCAGTCCCAGCACACTGCAAGACACCTCCAGCCACGGATTTCGGCAGGACTTTGAAGCAAAGCCTCCCAAAACTTGGCCTGAACGATGCAAGAAGCAAGCAGCTGCAGTTTGAGGCGTGTTTCCGTGCAGTGGTGACACATGCCAGATGGTTCTGAGAGGATCCACGCTGGAATTTTATCAAAACTTCACCAGGACAGCAGCAGGGCTGCTGCCACCTGTGGGGTGTTTCCTGCGACTGAGGTTCTGCCTTCAAGGTAAAGCACAGGACACCCTTGCCCCTCTTTGGTCTGCAAACCAACTCCATGCCATACTTCAGCATACAGACTGGGAACTGTGGCTATGCTTATGACTACTCACGGATTTTAGAGTCAAAATATGCAAAACTGGTATCTGCTAACTGCAGTATGGTGAGCACATACCAGCTAATAAAACTCACAAAGCCAAGCCAATGATTCCTTTGAATCTACATGTTTATATCCTTCAGTTGCGTTTCCAACATCTCCTTCAGCTGAACCACACAGCCCTGCTTGTTGCTCTTCTAAGCAACCAACTCAAACTGCTTTACATTTTAGAACAAGAAAAGAAGTAAATGTTCCAGCCATTTAATCCCTGGGTGCAAGTAGCTCTGCTGATATCTAATACTGCATTCAAACCCAAGATATTCACACTAACATGCAAGTTTAACTTGACTAATTGCTGAAAAAAAATCACAGTCCTGTTACAATTAAAGTTAAGGTATTCAATTACTTTTTCAGTAAACTGTTTTTATGTTTTACTAAAGAGAACTGCCCAAAAATGCAGTTGTCTTGTTAAACATGACAACTCTGAAGGCCTGTGCTTACTGAAGAGAGACCTTACAGTCACATTGGCCATCTTTCCTCCACCCGAGTCCACTGAGCATGCAAAAGAGAAGGAAGCCAAGCAGAGCTCCTGCTGCCCAGCTCCTGTTTAACACCCCTGCAAACATCTCTGAGCAGGAGCTGTGGATCTGTGAGTATCCATGGAGCATGAACATCCTAGACCTTGAAAAAACACCTGTGAGTGCCTGTGATCTCTCCCACCCTCATACCCTCACACACAGGCAAGAAAGCACCCATTCAGCCAGAGTGCTGCAATAGCCAACCACGTGGAGAGCAAGGGATCGACACAGCAGTTCACAGGTTTTACAAAATTTAGTGGACTTGCTATCTGGGTGCATATGCTATTGATACTGCAATAAAGCACACCATGACATCTCAGCCTGGAGAAGAGAATGCTTGGGGAAGACTTTATAGCAGCCTTCTAGTACCTGAAGGAAAGCTGGGGAGGGGCTTTTTACAAAGGCTTCTAGTGAGAGGATAAGGTAGAATGGAAATAGGGTATATTTAATTTAGATATATAGGAATAAATGATTCAGTGAGAGTGGTGAGACACTGGTACAGGTTGCCCAGAGAAGTTGTGGAATGGCTGGGTGGGTCTTTGAGAAACCTGGTCTAGTGGAAGGTGGCCCTGCCATGGAACTAGATGACCTTTAAGGTGCCTTCCAACCCAAACCAAATCTCTTGGAAAAGAGATTTACCAGGAACTAGTAACAAGGCAGAAGGAATCGGCCTGTGGAGGCACATGAAGCTGTAACAAAGAAGGAGGTCATAAGAGGTCATTAGAGCAAGACTGCTTCCATAATACATAGGTCAAGCATTTCTATTAAAATGAATAGTTTAATGACTGTCCACTGATTGTTCATTCCGAAGACATTTCAGCAGTCCACTGCTTCCTACACCCCATACAAGGACACAGTCTACAACTTGTTGTTAGTCCGCTTGCACTACCATCAGCGGAAACAGCTGCAAATACAGATTGGGGCACAATATCTGACTGTAGTTCTTAGATCTCTTCAAACAATATCTAAAATGGATTTAGGAAGCTGGAGAAAAACTTTCAGGGAATATGACACTCAAGATTGCTTATTTACTTATTTTAATTAATAGTTTGAGAATATTACAATAGGAGCACTCACCAGCACACTTACTAAGGCTTCCTTCAGCATTAACAGCCAGACAGCAGGGTTTAACCATGGCAAGCAGCACCACACAGCATCTATCCAAGGCTAAGCTAGACCATGCCTGGAGAAACAAGCAGGTCTGCTTGGAACAGTTACACTGCCTGCACCTGCTTTGCTGTTGTTTCCAACCATCCTGCCAAGTTTCCAGGAGCATCGTGAGGAGGATAAGGAGGAAAGAACACTGATAACTCCAGATGTAATAGAATTTCCTTTGGTACAACAGTTTGGTGTAAGGCAATCCTGATTGTCTTACCTAATGACTATGTGATACAAAAAGTTGAGATGCAGGTTCAGATCTTGGGCTTACCTCAGAACCAGTGTTGGACTCCCAAAAATGTTTGGTCAAGAGACAGCACACTTGCTCATGAAACAGCCTCAGCCACATTTCTCTCTCAAAAGCACTGCTAATACTGCAACGTTCATCAGCACAATCACACATCTGGATGTAGTGTCAGAGGCTTCAAATGCTAATGAAATAGCTATCTTTGCCACCTGATTGTAGCATTCTTTGATTACAGCTCAGAAACCTTCACTGTTGTCACGTAAGAGCATGGACAGAAAACGTGTCACCTAGCGTGAGGTCGAAGAGTCATATTTAGAAGATGCTGGCAATTTGCCACCTGCAGCTGCATGAAGGTGGAAGGGCAGGATTTCCTCCAAAACAGGTCATGCTTTTTTGGGTCCTTTGTTCTTGCAAGAGGGTGCTTTTTTTTTTTTTTACTTAATTTTTGTCCTGTGCTGTTATATGGTTCGGAAGTGCCAGCTGGAAAAAAGTGCAGAAACTCTTCAATCTTACTAGAGGGACCTTGCACTATCTCTGTTTTTTACTACAGATGCTGGACTAGTGAGAGTCTTTCCCAGACCACCACCCATGAAACACCACCTCCAAACATGCAGATACTTTCATAGGATGTTCCATTTTATACTATTTCAGCAATGCATCCCTTGTTCCCCGCATGAATGTACAAGAATGGGAGAAACTATGTTATCACTATAAAGTCACTATAAATGTCTCTGCTGCACAGAGAGGAGTTGCCTGTGACCACAGGTCAGTGGCACTAGTCTAAGTCCTGCTCCATTATGCAGTGAAGTCCACAGATTTATACTCTCCTATGTTTCCTTCTCATATCTGTAGAAGACTAAAAGAACTTTGGACACCAAAGGGGCTTAGCCATCTTCCAGCTTGTATACTGCTGCTGCATGTGTCATGAAGATGCATATGAAAACTGAGATTTTTTTTAAAGGAATTTGTCAAATGGAACTTCCTCACCCTCTAGTAAAATAATCTGGGAAGACAAGACAGCCTATAGGTTTGTCTAAAACCTATCAATGTTCAGAGGTGAAAGAAAGGCAACAGTAAGAAGCCAGCACAGTGTTTAAAACAAAACAGAAATAAAGAGGCAAACAAAAAGCAAAAACCCACCAGGATTTAAAAAAAAGAAAAAAGAAAAAGTTGTGAGGCATAGAAAATAAGGAAAGAAATAAATATCAGATGAAAAAAATTCAAAGCAAGGAGGGATAACTATTTGGTGATCCAGACAAAGCCTAATACTGTCTTTACAAAACTGATGCAGC